AACTCTGAAACTATAAATGAGCCATCCTAATTAAATGTTTTCTTTACAAGAGTTAACATGGTCATGGTGTCTCTTTCCAGCAATAGAAACTCAAACTAGGACAGTAGCCAAGCTTGACTTTGAACTTCTGACCCTCCTGCCTCTGCCTCATGAGTGATGGGATTATAGGTGTCGGCTAGCACACCTTATTCTTTATGTGATGCTGGGGATCAAAACCAGTGCTACAGATCAACTGTTTGAGAAAAAAATGCTTCTACCATCCATGGTGCTCAGAAAACTCAAGTGTTTTCAAGAGCTGTGATACGACTAAAAGGCAGATCCTAAATACATATTGTGTGTGTGTGTGTGTGAGAGAGAGAGAGAGAGAGAGAGAGAGAGAGAGAGACAGAGAGACAGAGAGAGACACAGAGAGAGACAGGGAGAGACAGGGAGAGATAGAGAGAGACAGAGGCAGAGAGACAGGGCGACAAGGAGACGGAGAGAGATGAGACACTTGTTCTGAGGAGCGCATGTGTGAGAGTGAAGCAGGAACTGAGTGGCTCACATTGACAGCTGTTAGGAGGACAGGGGTGTATTTCAATACTACTGAAAGAACTGAATTCCATCATAGCTGTAAGCTTGGGAAGGATGCTTTGGTCAGATATGAGCGCAGCTTGGAGAGGTCTTGATTTCAGCCTTGTAAGGCTTCGTGCAGAGAACCAAGTTATGCTTGGCTTCACTTGTACAAGGTGAATTAACAAACAGATGCTACGATAAACAGTTGAGTCCACAGCAGTTTATTAGGCAGGAATAGAAAATGAACTCACTGCCTATGCCAAAGTAAGTGAAAATGTTGCATATTGGTTTCTGAGGCTGCACACAATCTGACCCTTGCCTGTACCTGTGGTATGACCATCTGTTTGTTCCCCAGGCCCTGTCTTCTAACTAGTCTCCTTTCAAATAGGTTGTAATGGCTTGAGTGAAAAATGTTTTCTAAAGAAAGGCTCAGCTGAGTGGTGGTAGCACACACTTTTAATTCCAGCACTTGGGGAGACAGAGGCAGGTAGATCTCAGTGAGTTCGAGGCCAGTCTGGTCTATAGAGCAAGTTTCAGGATAGCCAGCTATACATTTGGAAACTTGGTCCCTGGTTGTACCTGTTGTCTGCAGAACTGATGAAGCCTTTAGAGCATGGAGCCTCGCGGATGGGAAGTAGGCCACTCACTGATGGTGGTCTCTGAGTGTTTGAAGTCTTGCCCCACTTCCTGTTTGCTCTCTCTGCTGCTGTGCGCAGTTGAGATGGTCTCTCAGCTTCTTGCTTTGGCTACTATTTGCCATTGTGGGCTCTAACCCTCTGGAACTATAAGCCAGAAAAACTCTACCTTAAGTTTTTTTTTTTTTTTTTTTTTTTTTTTTATGGTATTTTTGTTTCTCCAGACAGGGTTTCTCTTTGTAGCTCTGGCTGTTCTGAAACTCACTCTGTAGACCAGGCTGGTCTTGAACAGAGATCCACCTGCCTCTGCCTCCTGAGTGCTGGGATCAAAGGTGAGCACCACCATGCCCAGCCTGGCCATAGTATTTTATCACAGCAACACAAAATAACTGTAAACAAGGCACAGTGTAACTACCACACTAAACTACTCCATGGGTAGAAAGACAGTTTATTTGGGGAAGCAAATTGCTAGGCTGTCTCTCAGGGGGCGGAGGAGGGTGGGTGTTGGGAAAAGCATTGTCAGTTTTAAGGGGAGAGGCAGCTGTAGGAGGAGAGATTCAGCATGGAGTTCTGATCTATAGCAGGCTGTTTGGGAACTGGTCACCCTTGCCTGCGATAGTTGATCATTGGAGTGGGTAAGGGAAGTAGTGGCTTTTCTGGTAAACAGAAGCTCACCTTGAGAGATTCCTGAGGACTTCTCAGTTTAGACGTCTGTTTACTTGATAACCACCCTCTGTTTACCGAACCAAAGTCCTTCTGTTTAGGTCGTTGTTATCAGCATTGCCATTTTTTGGGGTCTGATTTAGGCCTAACAGCAACTAAGACAGAAATCTGTGCCAGGATGTTGGCCATGTTATTTTTTTAGAAATACTAGAAGACTCTGGAAGTTTGGACTTGAATGGGCTATTCTGGAAGGAGTCTGGAAGGCAATGATGCCGAGAGTAATGTGACTGTGGGGACCTGACTTGTGAGGTTTCAGATGAGATATCTCTATTAGTAATGGAGCTATTCATTCTGGTAAAGAATATGGCTACTTTTTGCTTCTGTCCTGAGAACTTGTCTGAGGCTAAAGAAAAAGTAATAGACCAATTTCTTTGATGGAGGAGATTTCAAGACAACATAACATTGACCTTGTGGAATGGTCATTAAGGATGATTGCTCTCATGCATACCTATAATGAAATAACATAAAATAGTACAGAAAGAAGTAAAAAACGTAATTTAGCTGGGTGGTGGTGGTGGTGTTTGTCCTTAATCCTAGCACTTGGGAGGCAGGAACCAGCAGAACAATGTGACTTTGAGGCCAGTCTGGTCTACAGAGTGAGTTCCAGAATAGCTAGAGCTACATAGAGAAACCTTGTGTCAAAAAAAGTAATTTGGAGAGGAAAAGAACACCTTAAGACTGCAGTAGAGTCACGTGCTAAAAAGAAGGCTGTGTTTGTTAAAAGACGTTAGTATCATGAATAATAGACCTTCTGCTCTGGAGTGGGGCATCAGGAAAGGCGGCATCCGGGCAAGACTTCAGTCAGCTGAAGCTATAACTTGTGAATGAGAGCCTACGGGTTTCTTGATCTTAGAAATAAGCAGCATACGGAAGCTGATGCAACCGTGGTACATCCTAAGCCAGCAGCCATACTTCTCACTGCCATTCATGTGGTACTGGTCATGGAGATGTGAAAGCTTTATCCTGTGAATTTTATAGCTGTATTTTAAAAAACAAAAACACTGCATTATGGAAAATTTCAGGAATGTATGTATACAGTGTTGTTCTGCTTGCAGGCCAGAAGAGGGCACCAGATCTCATTATAGATAGCTATGTGGTTGCTGGGAATTAAATTTAGGTCCTCTGAAAGAGCAGTCACTGCTCTTAGCCACTGTGTCATCTCTCCAGCACCCCGGACCCCTCATTTTTTTTGAGACAGGGCTCCTTTATGTATCCTTAGCTGCCTTGGAGCTTGCTTTGTAGACCAGGCTGGCCTTGAACTCACAGAGATCCACCTGCCTCTGCCTCCCAACTGCTGAGATTAAAGTTGTGGGTCATCGTCACCAGGCTATGAGTCTGTTTATTAACCCACTTTCATGAATACAACACGACTGGTCTTTTTACCTCTGTTATGACCCTTCTCTCCTCTTGAACACCTAGGCTTTCAGGGTGCTGGGATCACAAGCACACACCATGCCCTCTTTCTGTCCACACTCTATAAGTGATGGGATTAAAGGTGTGAGCCTCCACTCCTGGTGTTTTTTTTTTAATATTTATTTATTTATTTATTTATTTATTTATTTATTTATTATGTATACAATTCTGTCTGTGTGTATGCTTGCAGGCCAGAAGAGGGCACCAGACCCCATTACAGATGGTTGTGAGCCACCATGTGGTTGCTGGGAATTGAACTCAGGACCTCTGGAAGAGCAGCCAGTGCTCTTAATTGCTGAGGCATCTCTCCAACCCTAATTATGAAAATTTGGCCTTTAGCATAGTCTTGTCTCAATTAGCTCTTATAACTTAAATGAACCAATTTCTACTATCTGCCTTCTGGCACACGACATTATCCCTCGTCCACCTTGCACCTCCTGTTTCCTCTCCATGCCTGACTGGCAACTTCATCTTTCTTCTTCCCAGAAAAGTCCTGCCTATACCTCCTGCCTATCTATCGGACTTTCAGCTTTTATTACACAACAATACATCTTCACACAGTGCACAAATATCCCACAGTAGTATGAATATACTGCATTTTGATGATCGTTTATCCAAGGCATGTCCTTTGGTATTTCTGAAGAATGTTCCTGTGCAAAGGTATATGCAAATATTTCTTAGAGATGTTTTGATTAATCATTTTGAGTTGGTATGTAAGAGTGAAAATTATGATTAATATTGCAAATCTATTGTTTAGTTCTCTGAAGACCTCCATATTGCACTATTATACATTCTCACCAACACTGCACATGTGTTCCGATTCTGTATGTACTCAACAGGACATGTTGTTTCTGTTTTATTTGTGGTGTTGGTGGATCAAACTGAGAGCTTACAGCATATTAAACAAATGATACAATTGAACTATATCCCAAGCACCGACAATATACTCAGATCATTCTGTTTTTTATTACAGGTCTACAGATCATTGTTAAAGTCGCAGGGACAGTAGAAGCCATGCTGACCAGTAAGAAAAGAGGAAAAAGAGGGATAATTTTCATTCTTCGGAGAAACTTCTTGGCTAACTACAAACTTAAACCAATTTTTATAATTTACTATTTGACCATTGTAGGAAAGATTTAAAGGAGAGTGTATAAGGGACATTATGGTGAGAGGAATCCAATGCTTGGGGGCTGCCAGCTGTACCCAAGGGAGAAGGTTAGTTTCTGTCTCTGCAGAGTTAGATGAACTCGTGGTGAGTCCCCTAGGGATGAACATCCACAGGCCCAGGCTTGCCTGGGAGACTTAGCAGTGCTGGCACTGAGACACAGTGAAAAATGGAGGCACTAATGGGTCCAAGCCAAAGGTCCCACGAAATTTACTCAACTTTTAGGCCCTGGAAGCTCAGTGAAAGCCTGCTCACCTCACAGACCCAGACCGTGAAGTGCTCCTTTGGACTAATTATGCTGGTCCACTTCCTACTTCTCTCTCCAGGTAAAATTTCACTAGGGCTTTTCCTTTGTGCGTCAGGAAATGTATTATTGAAGAAGCTCACACACACACCACACACCACACACACACACACACACACACACACACACACACACACACACACACGGTTTTTCAAGACAGAGTTGATCTGTGTAGCTATGGCTCTCCTGGAACTCATTCCTGCCTCTACCTTCCAAGTGCTGGGATTAAGGCGTAGGCCACCAATGCCTGTTAGAATTCTTGAAATATTTGAAAAGACCACATTGTACTCCTGCTTCTGGGTTGCTTAATTTGAAAAGGCACCATACTGGGAGAAGGTTTATTCCTTTAGCTGGCAAGAATCCCCGTTTACCCATTCACTTACCTGGGGTGGCCATAGGGTTAGGAATCCAGCAAGCGTCCCTAGTTCCTTGCTGAGGTATATACTGAACTATTGTAGAGGGGCTTGACCGATGATGCCCAGGACACCGAAGGCTCACTGGATTCTTCAGAGTGGCAAATGTGCTAACTTGGTTGGGTGACTGCATGTTACTATCTACTTCTGTGGTGATGGGAGCTGTTTGTCTGGAGGGGAAACTTAGAAACTGCTAGGAAGTTGTCTTTTCCCTTCGTTCATGTTCCATCTCCTTGTGTGAATCTGTGATCTACATAGATAAGAAAACCCATGGAGGAAACCTCCTGAAACCCAAGCTGAAATCGGGGTGTCTCCTCAGTAGAGGAGAGGCTCCTCAGACCTCACTCTTAGTCTTCTGCCCTCCTATCATTCTCCTCAAGGCCAGTTTCACCTCCTGGTTCCTCAGAGTGTAGATGAGGGGATTGAGGAAGGGAGTGATGGCCGTGGGGAAGAGAGCCGCTGCCCCATCCAGGACGCTGTGACTGTCAGGGCGCAGGTAGATGAAGGCGCAGGGCACGTAGTACACGGTAACAATAGTTATGTGGGCTCCACATGTCGAGAAGGCCCTTCGCCGCCCATCAGCTGTGCGGATTCTTAGGATGGCCCGAATGATATAGATGTAGGAGAGGAGGATCAGGGAGAAACAACTGGCAACCACCACTCCAATATCCACAAAGGTCACCAACTCATTGACTGTGGTATCTGCACAGGCTAGCTTCAGAACTGCAGGGATGTCACAGAAGAAGTAATCTACCTGGTTGGGACCACAGTAGGGCAAGCGGAAGGTTAGAATGGCTTGGATTGCTCCATGGATTGAGCCAGCCACCCAAGCCCCAGCTACCAGCAAGGTACTCAGCTTAGCAGACATGAGTACCGGGTAACGCAGGGGCTGACAAATTGCCAGGTACCTGTCATAGGCCATGGTGGTGTAGAGGAAACACTGGGAGCTGCCCAGAAAGTGATAGAAATAAAGCTGAGCCACGCAGCCCCCGAATGGGATGGGCTTCACACCTGGAGTGAAGTTCATCATGAGACGGGGGACGATGATGGTAGAGATGCCCATGTCGATGATGGAGAGAGCACTGAGGAAGATGTACATGGGGCGCGCGTGGAGCTGTGTGTCTGCACAGACTGTGATCAGGATGAGCAGGTTCCCCAGCTGAGTCAGGATGTAGATTAGTAAAAAGAACACAAGCAGGAATGTCCTTAGCCGGGGAGGGTGGGGGACTCCTGTCAGGATGAACTCAGTCAAGAGTGTGTGGTTGACTCTTTCCATCTTTGGGAGGTCTGTTACCTAGAGGATGGACAAGCGGGGTGAGCATAGATGACCTGGAGGTGAGGGGGACTGAAGGAGACTGTGGGACCCTGGGGCGGTAGTGGGGAGTTCTGTGCAGATGTGACCCACGTGGGGGACCTGCGTTCTCTTCCAGGAGTGTTGTAACTGAAAGCTCATGAGCACAGAGCTATTCTCTCTCTCTCTCTCTCTCTCTCTCTCTTTCTCTCTCTCTCTTCTTTCTCTTTCTCTCCTGTCTCTCCTCTTGTAGTATTGAGTACTCACTCATGCTGACAGTCACATTACTGCTGAACTATATTTTCATTTCCCTTCATCTCTGTTTTGTTTTCTTTCAGTGAACAAGTGGTGGCAGTAAATTTTTATAAAAAAAAATCACACAAATGTAAAAACATTCTAAATCTAGGTGTGATAGATAGTTCATGCTTCCTCTGTTTCTAACACTTGAATGGTAGAGGCAGGGAGATCAGGAATTAAAGATCATCCTTGGGCACATAGTGAGTCTGAGCCAGCCTTAGCTATCTGAGAAAAAGAAGAATAAAGAGAAAAGAAAAGAAAGCCGATCAACTAACCCAGGCAAACAGCAACAGCTGAACTTCAGAAAGAGCACACCATGCTAGTGACTTACAGATTCTGGCCCCTCCGCTCACTCTCCAGCCTCTAAGAGAGGCTTATTCTCCCGCCGGAGTCCTGTGGTACATTCCTGACTATGTGCTCAGGTGACAGCTTTGGACTGGGTGTCACTGGTTTTCTAGTTTTCTGGGGCTCCTGAGTCATAGTGTTAATGTGTTCACAACTACAAAAACTTGGTCAGTCACATCTTTCCCTCGATAAAACTCTGGGAAATCATTTCGCACCATTTAAGTACTGAAGAGAACAATAAACCAAAGAAACACTTCATCAGCTCACAGTAAGACAGTTGGTCCTGTGCCTGAAATGGTGAGTCTACTACAGGACACTTACGTGGTCACTATTAGACATCAAATTAGGGACTGTATGCATGTTTCTTCATTTTGAATGGAAACAAAGGGATTTTTTTTTTTTGAGACAGGGTTTCTCTGTGTCACAGCCCTGGCTGTCTTGGAACTCACTCTATAGACCAGGCTGACCTCAAACTCACAGAGATCCGCCTGCCTCTGTCTCTCGAGTGCTGGGATTAAAGGTGTGCACCACCACCACTCGCTTTGGAGAAAACAGAGTTCGATACAGTTTATTTAATCTGGGCTGTTTTAGTCAGGTAAACTATCAGGATCTTTATCTAAGGGACACTTCCACCTTCTCCTTGGATGCCTGGTCTTCTCCTTTAGGTGGCAGTGAGGATCTATTGATGGGGTTTTCCTCCATTTTCTTCTCAAGTCTGAGTCTCTCTCAAAGTAGAGTGTCCACTGCCCTGGAACGTATTTCCCCGAATTCTTACTTTTCACACAATTTTTTGTTTGTTAAAGAATGTTATTGTCTTCCTCCTTTTCCTTCGCCTTCTCTTCCTTCTTCTCCTCTGCCTCCTCCTCTTCTTTTCTTCCTCTTGATCTTCTTCATCCTCCTCCTTTCCATCATCCCTTACTCCTCCTTCTAACCCCAGTGCTGAGAATTGAATCTAGGCTCTTGGGTTATGGGAGGCGAGTTATGAACTACACCCCAGCGGGGAATGTTCTCTCTCTGTCCAACAAGAGTAATTCTTTTGCAGAAGTTCCCATTGCTAGTGAGCTGTAGTTCATTCTCAGCATGAATTGCAACGCAGTCTCACGGATGTGGAGAGAGTATTTCTTAAGCCTGTCCTTGGATGACAGGACCTCTTAATAGGAAGAATGAAGGGCAAGTCCTGTTTATAACACTGCAAGTCTATTTGATGCGGAGTCTTAGGTGCAAAATTTTCCTGCCATTTCTTTTTCTTCTCAGTTAAATATGAAATGAAGAGGTAAACTTCCCTTCCCTTCTGACTATCAACACTATCCCCTCTGGGTCATGGCCGTTATCATAGCTTTTCTTTTAAGCATGGAGGTTGAAGTTGTTATCTACAGAGCAACCACACTCTACGGTGTAGTTTCAATTTATTAATATCCCCAGACACGGCCCTGAGACAATTTAAAGCCTTCCAAGGACAGGGATAGGGAGATGGAGGAGGGAAGAATAGAGAGAAGAGGAGAAAGAGGAAGGAAGAAGCATGGGAGAAAGGGAAGGAAACCAAGTACTGTTAAAGCCTCATTTGGGTGGAGACGCAGCTCCACGGAGAGCACCGGCCAGCAACACCGCGGCTCCACGGA